ATACTGTTATAAAATGAATCTAAGCGAATGCATTTATTATTCTAATTATTTATTCATTACTTTCTTCATTAAAAATCTGAGCCACTAAATTTGCTGTGTTATAATTAAGATTTCCCAATCCAAGTCGTTAAGTATTATTATTTGATACCATACTTTGACTTTTGATAAATGAATTGTTATTGTTAACAAAGGCTGGATTTGAAAGATTGATCACTTCATCGATTAGCAAATTAGTTTCATTTACTTCATCTAATTGCATATTGCAATATTCAGTAATAGGTTCGAATGAGTCAGAAGATTTTTCTGATTGTTTAACAAATTCCATTTGGCTAGTATTGACAGTTGATCTACAGTATTTACACTGTCTCTTAAATCACATTTCAATAGTTCCTTTTCATAAAAAGATAATTCATTTTTAATATTAGTATAGCAAAATGCACAAATTTTTGCTATTGCTTCTAAGCGAAAAATATTAAGCCTTGTTCTTCGATCACCAAATATCTATTTTAATATGGAAAAGTTTCACTCACATATAGCTTGAGAAGGAGGAATAGAAAAAATTTTAATGGCTAGCTTAGCCAAGGAGTCTTTTTGAGCATCAATGCTTAACCACCATTTTAGTGCTGATTCCTTTTCTTTATTAAATATTTGGGTATATGGTTTCTCTTTGTGTTTATAGGCACAAAGTTCCATTAATAGATCTTCACATGAAGCTTCGTCGTATCTCAATTCTTGCCACATTGTGGCTGCAGTTTCACAAATTTCATAAAATTGACATCGCTTTAATCCAATACCTAAAAATATAAAAAAATTAAATTGATTAAATAATTATATATACTATACATATATATTAGCTTATATATAATTACCTCGATATAAAGGATGTAAGCAATAGGCAAGCTGATACAATGGCGTTGCAAATTGTTTAAACTATGAATTGTAAATTTTAATGGCTTTAGACTTAAATAAAAACCAAGCTGCAGCTATTTTAATCAATGCTATATAACAATCAGCAATAGTAGCATGTCAACTTTCTAATTGATATACCATATCCTTAATAGGTTTTAATATTAATGCTATTTGATGACATTGGTTAAAAAATTCATGATTTTGGATTAAGTTGAAAACTGTCTTGTTAGAGATTGTAACAGCATAATTATTAATAAGCTAAGATATAAATTTATTAGTTAATATAATTAAATACAATATTAATTTTTATTTATTAAAAATAA